CATATAGTAGCATCATTTACACTACTTCATAATGATGATGGTGATCATATAGTAGCATCATTTACACTACTTCATAATGATGATGATGATGACCATATAGTAGCATCATTTACACTACTTCATAATGATGATGATGATGATCATATAGTAGCATCATTTACACTACTTCATAATGATGATGATGATGACCATATAGTAGCATCATTTACACTACTTCATAATGATGATGATGATGATCATATAGTAGCATCATTTACACTACTTCATAATGATGATGATGATCATATAGTAGCATCATTTACACTACTTCATAATGATGATGATGATGACCATATAGTAGCATCATTTACACTACTTCATAATGATGATGATGATGATCATATAGTAGCATCATTTACACTACTTCATAATGATGATGATGATGATGATGATCATATAGTAGCATCATTTACACTCCATAATGATGATGATCATCATCATATACATATGTTACATAAGACTACACGTGTATTATTCCTACATGGTTAACCACCGAAGTGTATTGAGATGAAGCCACATTTATCGAAGCACTCAGTCCTCGCACATACTGCATCTGGAGTTGGAGTTTCACCACCTCAAAAGGACAGCCGATAACAGCAGCCGCAAGGCCCGCAGTCCCACCTGATGAACAACAATTATGACCACAAAAGCAATGTGAAAACATGATCAACTACGTGTGTTGGTGATAATAAGAAAATTGTCAGGAAATTTTGGGCAATTATTACCAAAAAATTTTCAAAATTTCCTCATAGGCTTCAATCAAAATTATTGGTCCTTGTACACTTCTATTCGAAATTGTTCATAAGCTCCTAAGCTTAGCTGAGTAGTAAAGCCAACATATTCCCCAATAGTTACCAGAAATCGCAGCCGTTTTAGCTGGGCCTAACGAGTGGTCCTCCCTCTGCTTGAGCCATGTGCTCATATAACCGTATACACCAAATGCTGTCATCCCTATCGCGACGTCACCAATCATAGGAGATGACACTCCCTTGTAAAAACCTACTCATGAACAATCCTATACCATAACAACAGCAAATCAGCGATTGTTCATGTAGTACCTCGAAAGCCTTCATTTTTCCATGTTATCCTCATACAGTCCAAAGGGGATTTATACAGCGATGCAGAAGCGACTCTATTTTTCATCAAATCCAACGGGTATGATGATATCAATGCTACGAACGACGCTGAGTAACACGACAGAAACAATATGAGATAGAGTACGGAAAAATTGACTCAAAAAATTTCAGCCATTACTCAGCATCTACCACGACTCCACGATAAGCCACGTACTTCACTATATTTTTATGCAACTTTCTCATTGTCTTTTAAAACTACACGAAAGAAGCTCCAGCATACTTCATCATAGTCAGTTCATGCGTGAGATATATATATTCTGTCCCTATAAAATACACATTCACAATTGCTGGCTATTTTCTCCGTGAAATTATACCAAACAGTTCGTATGAGGTGATTTCCTCATGATGAAACGACGAGTTCCAATCGACATATTCCATGAACTCACCATTTGGCAGTTTTCCGATAATACACATAACAAACGTAATAATACTACTGATAGTGTTATGTCGCGTACAAGCCTGCAACCATCGTATTACCTGCAGCGCCAGCAAGAGTGTGTAGCTGTCCTAAGGTCAAGCATTGACCTAGATATGTAGCCATACTAGGTGCAGCAGTATGTAGTATATGACTACTACCACTACCTCTCAAACTTGCTATGGGCAAATTAGGAGGTTTATTTACGTGAAGGGCACTGAACAGGATAAGACTATTCACTACAGCAACTGTACAATGGGAATAATTATGATCATTACGAACTACGCCAGAGAGTTTCACCTTCGTTTTGTTCAAGTAGTAACAAGGAAAAAATATCG